GATAAAAAATTATTTTTAAAAAAAAATTCGTAACGGTCGATCAATTTTACGAGATCAATGATCTCAATTATAAATTTTGATCATAAATTTTGATTGGTTACTGGATTTGACGATCAAAATGCCGATCGAACAACTTTGAAATGGCCTATAAACGCATAATTTAGCGAACAATCAATTTCTTAATTTTAGCCAATCAGAATCCTAGTCAATTAACCAATGAAATCAATTGACCTATATATTTATCAAGTCGCGTACATACTACAATTTTTCGCATCGTTCCTTATTTTAGATAGACTTATTATCTATTATTATTATTACTATTGTCCTTTACACGTCACCCTATTATTATTTTTTTTTATACATAATTATGCTCGAAAGTATCTTGAAAAAGCTTCGACATTATGATTATTCGAGACGCAATGGAGTTTAGAATCATGGGATAATTATTATTTTTTTAACATTTATTGATACGACAAAGAGAAAATCGCATCATGTTTTAGGGTGTGAGTTGGAAACTTTGTTAAGAAGCCTAAAACCAGAAATGAGGGAGTATCAAAAGGCTTTGTCGTTGAAGCGCCAGCTCAAGCAAGAAACGTTACACTTGAGCGTTTGAATATAGCTAGTACAGATATGTTACCAATTTGCAAGCAGGGATTTAAAAAATGTATTGAAAATTTAATGAGCATAGTATGTGTGCTACACCCTGTCCCAGCAAGCACAGGGAAGAAGAGCGTCCAGACGTTGTATGACAACCCGCTGCGATGTGCATACCTCATTATTGATTAAGGTCTGCTGATTCTGGTAGAGAAATCAGCCATGTACTTTCCTTATTATTGGAGAATCTTTACTCATACACCTTTCTTTGCATACTACTACAGGAAAAGAAGGTTAATAAAGAAAATGAGGAGAGCGTGGTAATTAATTACCTTTATATATACTTACATAGTAATATATCTAGCAATGCATGTTTATTTTTATAACCTTTCTATAGGAAGGAAGTAAACTTATTCAATTTATAAAATGATTTTTAGAAGAAAGTCCTTCAAAGCGTTTGGCAAAGGTTAGTTAGTACTGTAAATGTAAATCTATTGAGAGTATCTACTTGATTTAATCTAACAATTTATTTCTAGGAAATTGAAAACGATCCTAGCAACCCTTTTGTTGCATTTGGATTACCAAGTAAGAATGACTCAGACGAACTTTATTGTCCCAGTTCAGATGAATCAAGTGATGACTACTATCTTGAACCAAATGAAAAGGAATATATTATACAGGACAAGGAGTCAAAGAAAATCTACATTAAGTGATGGTGCAAATAAGGTAATACCTAAAACTTTTATTAAAATTTATTTAGAAAAGATCTTTAATGCTATTTTATATACGGTTACAGTACGTTCCGCTGAAACCCCCTTTGCCGAAGCCAATTCACTGAAAGGACATTTTGCCGAACAACCACTTTGCAAATATCCATTTCGCCAAATGGATCTTTTACCAAAAAAAGTTTCGCTGAATGAACATTTCACTGAGAGGACGCTTCACCGAAATGACGTTTTGCCGAATCCATTTTACTGAACGGACACTTCTCAGAATCCATTTCACCGAAAGGATATTTTGCCGAAAACGAAAATAATTCGCTGTTGGTTGTTAGCAACTTGCCAGATTTATTGAACTTTTTTTATTATTTCCAAAATTTTTAAGAAAAAACTTACTTTATAATGTAGAATCTAAAAATGATAAGTTAAACAAATATTACGCAGTAATCATTTTCGGTAAAATATCTTTTCGGTGAAACGAATTTAGCGAAACGTCCGGATACCTTTATATATACAATAGATCATTAACACAATTAATGTTTCGACTTTACTATTAGAATATCATAATATATCGGTCCAAAAAGCTTCCGAGAATAACATTAGAGAGGCTGCTGAAATACTGTGAGTTTGAAACTTTTAAATCATGTTTATTATTTGCTACTTTTTTATAATAAATTTTTTTTATTATTGTAGATCATTGAACCATATATTTTTATTTGAAGAGCATACATTAACTGGAATTCAGAAAACTATTGAACCTGAATCATTAAAAATCATTTTTGAAAACATTAGAAATGAATTTATTCCCTACCAATTATCTGATAATGATATTGTACGATATTATACAATAGTAAAGGTATATTTTTTTAAACAATCTTAAAGTTTTTAATTATTCCTATATTAATAATAACATGTTTATTTACAGACTGCAAATCAAAATTTTCAAAACTGTAAGCCATTGCTAAGAAAATGGCAAAAACAAGTCGAGGATGATCAAGAGGATTTGATTTTGGAGGTGTTTGAATCTATGTAAGTACTTGCAAAGCTTAAAGATCTTATTGTTGATTGTTTAACATATGTGTTTGAATCTATGTAAGTACTTGCAAAGCTTAAAGATCTTATTGTTGATTGTTTAACATATTTAACATATTTACCATATTATAGCATTGGTAGCTTTCAACCAAAAGTATACAGATAAGGTTTAAAAGAAGATTCCTTTGTATAGTCGCGTCCGAAAGTGATGCCCGATTTTGTATGGTGTTACGATACACTAAATTTACATTATTTATACCTCCTTTTTTTATTTTTAAATGTTTTTCTTATAATTTCATAAACTAATAAACGCATTATAAAGTTAAAAAAATAATATCACATAGAACTGAGTTAACTTCTTAAGATAAGGGAAAAATACTTGCATATATGGAGAATTTTAACCCTGCACAAATAGCAAGAAAAATGGGTTGTGATCCACCACAATAAGAAGAATCATTGACAGATACAAGAAGACAGGGAAAACTGAAAATTTACCTAGATCAGGGCGTCCACCTGCTCTTGATGATAATGAGACAAATGCACTCATAAACGAAGTTACACAATATCGATGCGAACCTTTACATGAAATACATTAGGTTTAAATTGCAACCTTACAACTGCTAAAAGAGCATTACATGATGTTGGAATTTATTCTTATGTTTCTGCAAAAAAACCTTTTATATCAGAAAAGCATGCATTAGTTCGTATTAGTTGGTGTGAGAAATATAAAGAAAAAACAGCTTATGATTGGGTACAAGTTATTTTCTCAGATGAATCAAGTGTTGAAATTGGCAAGCAGTCATGACAAATAAGAGTTTGGAGACACACAGAGGAAAGGTTTAACACTGAATGCTTGACACTTACCTTTAAAAGTAGTCAAATATCAGTTATGGTTTGGGGATGTTTTGCAAGAGGGATAAAAGGGCCATTAATTTTTTGTGATGAAAATAAAGAAGGAATTGAAAAAATCAATTTAAATACTTACATTAGAATTCTAAATTCATATTTATATCCATTTCAACATACAGTTCATGAGTTAACAGGGAGGGTTGCAATTTTTTAACAGAATAATGCACCTATTCATATCGCGAAAATAACCAAGGATTGGTTGAAGAATAAAATTGTGATTATTGATTGGCCGACAAATTCTCCTAACCCAAATCCAATAAAAAACATCTGGAAGTAGTTAAAAGACAATATTCAGAGTTGTAAGATCTTTCCAAAAACTGTGGGTGAATTTAAAGTTACAGTAAGCAAAGAATGAGAAAATTTGGATTGCTCCATTTTTGAAGAGGTTGTTACTTCAATGCCACAAAGAATAAATGCAGTATTAGAAGTAAGGGGAGGGTCTACACATTATTAACCATTTTTATAATTATTTTTTATGTGAATTTTAATGAAAGTCAATAAAGTTTTGCCATTTTTGACATTAATTTTAAATCAGGCATCACTTTCAAACGTGACTGTACATGAAGTTTCGGGACCTATGATCAAACCATTTTTCGTCAATAGTAATTTTGAATGTTCATGGTAAGTATTTAATAACACCTTTTTATCACTTATTGTAATTATAATGATTAAATATATTTCAAATTATTTTCAGGTCAACTGATGTTTTGAATGTCTTAGCACATAGAAAACATAAATTTAATCCTTTATTACAAGGACGAAAAGCTGATTTTTCTGTTTATTTACCCATCAGAGACAAAAAATGTTATTTGCTTGTATTAGAAACAAAGTCCACCGATTATGTTGTATCAAAAAAAAATTATTTTGGAAGATTGTAATTTGATGAAAATAGGAAATGAAATGAAAGACATAATTGATAAATGTAATGATAATGGAATAAAAAATAATGGTTTGACAATTTGTGGTTTACTAATTGAAGGCAAGTTATTTGTATCAACATTTCTTATTGATACTTAGAATCTAATTTGTGTTTATTTGCATTTTTGTAACTAGGTTTTCAATGTAGTGTATTTGCTATGGATTTAAAATATAAAGCAATATATCAGATGATTCTTTGGGTAAGTTTTTGTTTTCTTGTAATAGTTATGACCTCGCAGTACTTCTCATAACAATCGAATGTCTTATACAAATGAAAGCATATAATGAATATATAAATATTATTTGATTTTCTATTCTAATATTTTATCTCTTTTACAAAAGAATATCATTATTTGTTTTTCTGAAATTTGTAAAGAAAGTATTCAAATCTCGTCTGAATATGATACAGATTAAAAATCTTTACATAGTCAAATGATGCAATCATTTTTTCATTCACCAATAAAAGTTTCCAAAAGTAGTATAAATTATACAATGTAATTTTAAATATCATTTTCTATGATAGATTAAATAGCAATGATAAGATATAACGTGTGATCTAAAAAAACTTCTCAAAACCCATTGGGCTTTTTAATAAGATAATGGCCTTTGGAGTTTACAATTAAACTGTTATCAATATCATTACATTTTGTTAATAAAATTTTTTTTATATAACTTTTAAGCAAACAGAACGAAATTTTTGTCTTATGCCAATAAATTATCCATCATCTTCATTGTTTTTGTTCAGAACGTAAGATTATTATCACATCATAAAACTGTTAGTAAAAAAATATACTTGAAGAGCATGTAGACTTTTACCTTCTTACCATTAAAATAGGAGATTTTCGTCTACTATATTCATAAGAAAACTAGGTAAAGATCATATTTATAAAATAGTTTCTCTTATTATCAAGTAGGTGTGGTATTATTTTAATTTTTTTTTTTTTTTTTAGAAAACTAGGATAAAAAGAAATTTAATTAAATGTATATATATTATTAATGATAAAGAATGGTCAAATTAATATTACGATGGTTTATTTAATCAATAAGGAATATATTGAAATCAGATAGGCATGAAAGTAATCCTTTAACAACTGTACTTTTAATCAAATGTAATTTAATTTTAATCAAAATTTGAAAAAAGAATTTTTGGTATAAAATTTATAATAATGAAATAATGAAGTTAAAGTTTTAAGTCAAAAAGTAATTGAAATAAATTTTTTCAAATAAAGAGTTAATTTTTTAAATTTGATTTTATATGATTTTAAAATTAAAAATACATAATTCAAAGTAATGATTTAAAATGTATATCAGATATTTTCATTTAATGAAAAAATTTTTTTATTCAATATTTTTTTTTAAATAAAAAATAATTTAAAATATTTTATAAATGATCTAAAATTTCTAAAAATTAATAATCTAAATATTATTAATAAATAATTTTAAATTTTTATTATATAATAATTAGTAGATTTATTAAATTTATTTAAATATTGATAATGTATAATAAATATAAAATTTTTAATTATATTATATTAAAAAACATTTATAATTAGCATTTCAGATGATTTTTAAACGTTATCCTAGTATATATATTATAAAATATATAAATATTTTATTAAAATTAAATTATATAAATCTTAATAATTTATTAATTATATAATTGTATAGTCCAATATAAAAGATATGTATCTTAAAAAAAAATTAATTTTGTTTACATATAAAATTTTTTAAATTTTAATAATATATTTAAAAATTTTTTATATAATATAGAATATACTTCAATCTATTTTTTTATATAGTTTTTTTATTACTTTTATATTTTTAATGTAAAATTAATAAAGAAAACTTTTGAATTTTTTAAAAACAAATAAATAAATTTTTTATTAAAAAAATAAATTTTGATATTTTACATAATATATGCAACTTTATGAGCTTATATTATGCAAGTGTATAGTTTTATATACAATAAATATAAATTTTAAATTTTAACTAAATTAAATGAGTAGTTATTAAGAAATCAAGTTCTAAAGTTTAATTGCTGATCCGCTGATCAATCAGAGTACCTGATCACAATTTAATAGTAAATCTCGTAATTAATAAAACATATTAAAAATTAAAATTTTTTAAATCTCAGTTTCTTTACCCATTAAGCTCTAATGTCTTCACAAAAATCTAAAATACAACTTATTTCTACTGGTAATCTTATTCTAACGCTTTATTATGGCTTATATGCTGTAAATTGGTGAATGTTTTTTAACCAAAAAATATCTGGTGAAGAAAAACAGATAAGCGTACCTATAAGACTAAATATGAGAGTTTGTCTAAAACTTAATAAGAGAGAGTTTATTATTCGTATTATTAGTACAAACAATAATATTAGACCAGGTTATGTGTGTGAATCAGATATTACAGCAAAAATTTATTTAACTGCGTCTAAAGCCATTAATGAAGCTTACAAAAAATTTTCAATACTGAAACGCAGTATTTAGGATCTTCAGTTATGGGATTTGATAATGAATATATAATCAAGCAATTAATATCAGATGTAGTATTTCATCCTTTCAAAATATCAATTGACAAACTTTCAGTTTTAATCATAAAGTTAGGTATTTCAGACGATGACTCTGATAATTTTATTGGATATCAATCAAGTTTTACATACAAATATCATAATAAACAAAGCCTTTTTGTTCAAAAAATTAATAATAGGAATTGTCATATTGAAATATTTCAAAATGGGGGGTTAGTTGCAAATTATAACGATATTTTACTAAATGAGGTTTAAAAGAAAATAGGAATATTGAAAAATTATAGTGAAAAAATTTTATTTGGGATTAATCATCAAGATACAATTGATGCATTGGAAAATTATGCGGAACAACCAATTTGTAATGTAATAGAGTGGGGTAATATTCAGATAATGATACAAGCATTCGAGCAAAATTTAAAACAGAAAATCACCATCGCTGAAATTAACTGGTATCAATTTTTTGATAAATGGAAAAAACAACAAATAAGTATTATAGAGTTTACTACTTATCTTAAGCAAATATATTCACTAAATTATAAATTTTCTGATTGTGAATTGAGTTCTTGGTGAAGAATGATGAGAAATGTTAGTTGTACTAATATAACACCATATAAAAAAAAAATCTAAGGTTAGTTATTTGTCCTAAATTGTGTAATGATTACATTTTTAAAAACACAAAAGGATCTAATAAAAATATTATTTTTACTTAGCTGGAATTTTGGACATGTTCTTTGAATTATTCTAATGATCGTAATATACTATTATACTTATATACTATGAATTTACTGAATGTTACTTATAATCCACAAGATACAAAAACTGAAATTGAAAATAAGAAATTAGAAGAAAATATTGATCAGTCACAGGTGACTATTAATCAGTTTTGGAAAAGTTTTAACAAAGTGATTCAGATCAATAAACGAGGGTTAGATGAAAAGCAGCGAATTCTATCTATAATTGCAGAGAATTTTGAGCATAATGAAATTCAACGTGAATTGCAAGTAATATTTAATTTCAAATTATTTTCAAAAATTTGCTATTACATTCACGCATAATACTAATTTAAATATGTTACCTCTCTTAGATTTCAAATGATTTAGTTTGTGCTGCAAGAAAACATAGCCATATAGATGGTTCAGGATGTCCTGCAAAAAATAAGCCTACTGTGAAACAAAGTTATATACCTGAAATAAAAGATAGAGAATTTGAAAGCTTTTTTTCTGATAAAAATAATGTTAGCATGAGTTCTTATCATGTCGATCCAAAAACAAATTTACCACTATTATATCTGAAAGATAATAAAAAAGTCCTCTGACAGAAATTTGAGGTAATTTATCCTGACAGAATAAAAAGAACATCCTTTATAGTATGCCTGAAAAGTGATCGTTACGTATATAGACAAGATTTGGGTGGATTATAGATGCCTGCCGAAACCTTCTCAAAATAATTTCGTCATATCCTTTTCTATGTTTTTAATATAGTTTCGACAGTTTCGGCTTTCGTCGTATCGAAAGGGTTTCGTCGTATCCCTTATTATGATTTTAATATAGTTTCGTCTAAGTTTCGACTGTTATTAAGGGGTTTCGTCCCTCATCATTAGGGTGGATTATGTAATATTTGTAATGAATACTGCTATGAAGTATTTGATATACTAATTAATCTGGTGCAATCAAATGTAAAGCAGGAATTACAGGTATTAATTTTAAAATAATTTTTGTTTTGAAAAAAATTTTATTATAAATAAATTACAAAAATTTTTTTAAATACAAAATTTTAATTAAAGAATACACTAGTGAATGATCTTGAAAAATTACGCCATCATCTAAAAAGAGGCTTCGAAAATGAACTTACTGTAAATGAAGATGAGACAATACCACATGTGGATACAATTAACCACTGCTTACTATATGCATTCGGGAAATGCACTCAAGAACACAAAACTCGTTGTACTACATGTGATCAGCTATTCATACTTATCGAACAATTAAACATAATACTACCAGAAAATCTTTGATCTATAATTGAAGAATCACAAAATAAGCTTCGTTATTTTTTGACTCAACAGGCAAGAAAAGTCTATTTGAACAATCAATTTAAAGCAAAACTTTTAGAACTTGATAATAATGATGCAATTTTAGTATATGATTATAAGATGAGAATCTTACCTAAATGCGCATGTGAAATAAAAGAAAATTTTTTTGGCAAACGCGAATGGACGCTTCACACTATTTTAGTTTTACGAGATGTGATTCCAAACAACTTGATGTGCAAGCTTTTGATCACTGGTCTACAGATATTAAACAAGACGCCTGGTTTACGGCATCATTTTTTGATGCAGTTTTTGAAACACTAAATCCAAAATCAAAGTGGATCAAAATTTTTTCTGATAATGGCGGCCACTATCATAATTCAGAATTAATAACCATTATT